GGCATTGTGATTGTCCTCGACGACCTAGACGCAAGTTTTTTTTGGTCACGATTTAATTATTAACTAAAAAATATACTTTTTTTGCTCACATTACGTAACCGAGATGAGCTCATGTATAGTTAATGCGTATAACGTAATAACTCTGCACACCGTACTGTTTCTGTACGTTGTCAACATTTTATTTAATATTTAATAGTGTAACACGGAAATTCGTGTGTAAGTAAGACATTACGCTTTCTTAATTCTGCAGCGATCGTAAAACGTTACAATTTAATTAACAATAATTTGTCGTGTTATGTGATTAACGTTTGAAACAGCTCTGACAGAAAATAATGGAAGAAATGTTCCTTGTAATTTTTTAATTAAATTTACTTTCANTGTCAACATTTTATTTAATATTTAATAGTGTAACACGGAAATTCGTGTGTAAGTAAGACATTACGCTTTCTTAATTCTGCAGCGATCGTAAAACGTTACAATTTAATTAACAATAATTTGTCGTGTTATGTGATTAACGTTTGAAACAGCTCTGACAGAAAATAATGGAAGAAATGTTCCTTGTAATTTTTTAATTAAATTTACTTTCAATACAAAAAACTCGAATACACATTTCCGTGTTCAGTGAGTACTACGCGTTATTGATGTAAGTTATAAAAATATATGTAAACACATTAAACAAAATTGAGTGACTTTTTAGTGACAGAAACACTAATTAGTTTTTTTTTCTTAGTTGTGTGGACGAGCTCACAGCCCACCTGGTGTTAAGTGGTTACTGGAGCCCATAGACATCTACAACGTAAATACGCCACACACATTAAGATATAAGTCCTAAGGTCTCAAGTATAGTTACAACGGCCGCCCTACCCTTCAAACCGAAACGCATTAATGCTTCACGGCAGAAATTAGTGACAGAATTATTGTAATACTATAATATATTATAATGTATTATGTGCGTCCCGAATTCCAGACCGCGACAAAATCAGATCAGTGAAGTTGTTTGTATTGAATGTTGAAGTTAATTCTCCATCTCAAAGTTCCGTTGTTACATAGAAATATGTGCAATTCTTTTAAAACTAAGCAGTATTTACTTTGGTTTTCTCGACTCATAGACAATTTAAACAGTTTTTACGGTATAATCTTGCATTTTTGCTGTCATTATATTATTTACGACGTTTCGAATAATTACAGTTATCGTGGTCACGGACAGACTAAAGTTATCGGTCATCATTTGAGTACTATGATAACTACCATCTATTTTTCTGTAAAAAATATTTCCAGATACATATGAAAAATAAAAGTCTAGAAATAATTTAATTACATAAAACAGAAAAAAACAAGACGAAGATGAATAAACACCATATCTTATTAAATTATAATAATAGAGCCTACAGAAATAACAAAGTGAGTTCTGGATAATGACCAGTGGCCTTAGCTTAGCAAAGCTTCCCTTCGTTTGCCACTAGGGGCGCTATTTTGAGTTCACTTTTACGCCATCGTAAAGTTAAAAAACTCGCGCTACGCACACAGTTTTATATTGTGTGAGTAAAAACGTTGAGATGTTTTAGGAGGTATTGCCGTTAGCTCGGACGCACGTACAGATGAACGGGACGAACTTATAAGGTTTTCTTTTTTCCTACCTATGCTGATAGCCTTGAGAGGCTATTTCAGCCTCACCCTAACGTGTGTAGGTGAGCTCACGGGGCTCAAACCGGAGTGTTGCTAACACTGACCCTAGCAAGAGCAGTGCTTCGCAGAATCTACCACCGGATCGGAAACGCGACCCACTGAGAAGATCCGGCGAGAAACTCAGTGGGCTGTGTCTATGGGTTAATTCGCTCGTTGAGCCCTTCGTCGCGAGCGACAGGCTCAACGAGGACGGTGACCGGTGCTTGTGGTGCCTAAAAACACATTTTTTTCACACTGAATCCTGCCACACTTATTCCGATTAAGCCTTGTAGAAACTTTACACGTTGTTTCGCTAAAAGAATGTGTTACAACACGTCCGTTTGCATTCAAGACGCAACATAACCTTCAATTTACGATCAGCGTAAGCCTAATGCTTCACAATTGCACAATTTAAACAATTATTTACAATATATTATTAACGGTAGGACAAGAGAAATTTGACAGAACTGACTAAAAACTGCAACGATTGTTTTCTGTGCCGTCAGATTAATTAGGTTCTCTAACTGTCACCGATGACATTAGTATTGTCAGTAAATAGGCTACTAGCAGTGTTCTTTTGGACATGCCGATATTTCGTTTGCAATATTTTGTACGGTTATAGCTAGTAGTGGACATAGTTAAAATTACTTTTACAGTTTTGTTTCTTGTTTCATGTTTTCATTGTGTGATTTTTAACGTATCTAAACTGCAGTTTGCGTGGCCACGGACGCTCAAACGGACATAATACAATTATAATAAAATAACGCGAGATTAAACGATAAATCTAGTTTTAATTATGTAATACTTTTTTTTTACGTTTTATAAATACATGGGTATTTTTATAGTTTTGAATTACCGGTTGCCCTCAATATGTAATGTTTGCGCCTAAGAGTTAGTTATTCATAAAAGACGTTATGAATAAAATATCACAAGAATTTACTGTATGGAATTTAAGCGAGATAACTATCTCTTCTAACGAGTTACGCAAAACGATTACCGCAGACGCTGCAACGGGTATCTTGGGCTTGTTACTCGTACATTTAAGAGCATCTCTCCGTATTTAATTTTGTTTGAATTATATAAAGTATATTCCCTCGCTTTTGTACGAGTAAGCTATATTACAATAGATATTTGAAATGCTGTATGAAAGTCGTAATCGTAATTCGAAATTAACTGACATACATGTTAATAATCGCATATGTTTGAAGATATAATTTTACCTGTCATGGACTAATTTTAATTGGGTCATATTAATGTGTTTTCTCTTTGAAAAGCCATTTTATTTATTTATACTTATTGTAGACAAAAAAGAAAATACAATAAAACAGATTTAAAAGAATGTCTAAATACTATGTACAAAGGCGAGCTTAATTCATTCATGAGTTTCCTTCCAGCAAACCATTAGCAGAGAGAAATACGACGCTTAAGAAGGGAAAAGTGTACTATATAAAATATATTAAAGCCTGACTATTATACTAAGGTTTAAAAAAAAATACACCACCATTATGACACAAATAAATGCGTAATATTGCTAATATAAAATGAAAAATACATATAAATAAACATACATAATTTTCAATAAGATTCAATTGACCTAATAATAATATGTGTACGCTTATGTTTTGTATATGCTTATGTATTGTTTGTGTACGTATAAATTCCGAGTAGGCATGTGCTGTTACTAGTCAAATTTCTCGTTCCAATTTGTCTTTGATAATGGAACTTCCACCGCGTTTCCAGAACGCTTTGACATGTCTTTTTTCAGACGAGGTTTGAAGGAAGTGGCAGCCTTATTAGTAGTGCCCTGGCATTGGCTGACAAACACAAATAATATAATTTATTTAGAAACATGTTTCCGTCTACATACTTAAATATATATATATAATTCTATTATAGCATTGGTGATATAAATGAAGTTAAATACTGATAGCGTCAATCGGGTCAGGTATGCAGCCGAGGTATTTCAATGATTAAATTATTCAAGGAGTTTCTTCGTAAAAATTGATAATGGATTGTTATTTTCGAAAATAAAAATCACAATAAATGTCACAGTCTGGACAATAAGTTGACAAATCTATTCTATTTAATATAATAGTTTAGATGTTAAACGAAAGTATTCAACCAATAGGATATTTCTAATTTGCGTTAAATATAAACATATTATTCTCATTAGAACTTTACGTTTTATTGTTCTTTGGCACTTGGCTTACCTTTTAGGATTTAGATATACTCGTATATGTATTTTATTTGGGCTATTACTGGACGTATTATGAACCCGCACGGGTAGATACCACCTTCCTGCCAATTTCTGCTGCGAAGCAGTTTTGCGTTCGGCTTCGAAGGGCGAAACAGCCGTTACAAGACAATACTTTACGAAACTCCGACCTTCATTACTCAGAATGTGTGGCGACATTCACGCTGTGATTGACATATTTAAAACTCAAATTGGACGCGAACGTGAATGAACGAATCATCGATTTACGTAATGAAAAAAAAAGAACTTTTGCAAAAACTTTACTGTACGCAGTTGCATCAGTTTCTAACTGGTTTATGTGACGAGTTCCTTAATCGATGTAACCGCAAACCAAGCCTAACCACCATCCACAGTACTAATGCTCTATACCTATGTCGTACTTCGACGAAAGAAAAAATGTGTTTATTTAAATTTCAAACTATTCGATTTCTTACCACAGATACGGATATACTTACTTACTATGCAGTAAATATAAATAACAGTACGTTGATTTTAAAAAAATGACTGTGTAAATCCTATTTTACATTTTTTACATTTATATACAAACACCATTATACAAAAATCTGATCAAATTAAATGTTTTAACTCATATTCGATATAGCGTCCATTAATTTATGCGCTCAGTAAGACGTTTAAATAAAATTCCACATTGAATGACGGATAATTGTTGTTGCTTCATCACGTAAAACTTGCAAGTCAGTCGCCTCGCTCCTTTATCGTAAGGAAGCCAATATTTAATTATGTGGAGAAAGCCTTAGCCGCAAATGGACACGGCAGGCCGTGTCGCAATGTAACTGATTATGCTACCTTGACAGTGTTAATAGCCTAGCTTTGGGCAGAACTGTTTGTTTAAATCATTGAGAACCTACTTTGAAATACGACTACATTTTATTAATAACACCATTATGTTTAGCTGGTTCAAGTTAAATTCAGTGATTATTTTAATAATAATTAGCTTTAATACTGTAAATGAACTAAGGTTTAGCGGTTCGCACGTGTGAAACTCTCGACTATTATAATTTTTATGGTCGATTTCCTGTACGTCTACATAACAAGTACCTGTTTTAAAGTAAAATCTCACCTCAGGTGGAGCTGCGAATTTCAAGTTGGCGAGTGATCCATGCGAACGGCTTCTGTGCTCTTGTCGAATACTATACGAAAAAGCGCGTTCATTCAGGTGACCTTTCTTCCTGTAAATACCTCCGGCGTCCTCGACAGCCTCCAAGCCGGTCATGCTCTGAGCGGCTTTCAGAGCAGGAGGCGGAGGTGGTTTCGATNAGTAAAATCTCACCTCAGGTGGAGCTGCGAATTTCAAGTTGGCGAGTGATCCATGCGAACGGCTTCTGTGCTCTTGTCGAATACTATACGAAAAAGCGCGTTCATTCAGGTGACCTTTCTTCCTGTAAATACCTCCGGCGTCCTCGACAGCCTCCAAGCCGGTCATGCTCTGAGCGGCTTTCAGAGCAGGAGGCGGAGGTGGTTTCGATCGGCGAGGATCAACGGTAGCGTATTGTATACGACCTCTCCCGGGAGGCATGCTCGGAGGATACGGCCCTGCGGCTAATGCAGCTGGTAAACGACCTCTGTGACCCAGCGTCGCCGGACGAGCGTGTGGCAGTGTCGCTGCTGGGTGAGCCACTAGCACCATCGGATGTGCAGCCGCCCATGATGGAGGAGCTCGCCCCAGGGACCTACCGTTCATCATAGGCGGTGGACCTGCGTAAAGTTCGTCAGCGGAGGCCGATGATTTTTTCTTATTCTTTTTTGTTGTAGATTTCTTTTTGGGCTCCTCGGGTGGAGGCGGGGGCGGCGGCACCGACGCTGGCCGCGTGATCTGTCGAGGTCTCGGTGCCCGCGTCGCGTGCGGAATGTCGTCGCTGACGTCGTCACGTTCGGTCTCACCGACCCACACTTTATGATTTTCATCTCCGTCGTACACCTCCAATTCCTCTTCGGGGTCCGGAGGTAGCTGAGAAGGCGAACGCTCTGCCTCCAATCTTTTCGCATAAGAACTATCGGCGTAAGCGTGGAAACAACATCGGACTAGTGCGTTTGCAGCGGCTTCTCGTCGGCAGATAAAAGCGTGACACTCTAGAACTTTGATGCCCTGGGTCCGACGCAAAACCGCCGCGAATAAGGGCGGGCGTCGCGGCGCTGGTGCCTGAGCGAAGGGCGAATCGAGAGGTAAAAATCGCGGCCCACCTTCGACAATCACACGGCGCACCGCAGCGCAATAATGCAAGCTCGAAATCGGGAAAAACCTGGCCACCCGCGATCCACTTTCGTCCACGTTCTCCAACAAGATACCGTTCGACCAGACCGATAGCCACGAATCTATGCCACCACTGGTCGCACCCTTTTCTGGATACAGTTCGCGCAAAGGTTCCTGGATGCCCTGTAGGCCGTCCTTGCTCTGTTGCGGCACCGCGGAGCCGAGGTAGAGCACGCGGCACCGACATATCGGCGTCGATTCCATTTCGGCACCACACTATCACACCATGACACCGAATCACATTCAACACTATTAGTTTAGCGACGGTTCGCTGGACAGGTACGTGCGGCGGCCGCGAGACGAGCGCGGGTCTGAGCCGAGTGAGCGGAATTCAAGATGGCCGATAGCGTGCGGGGCGGGGTAGGGGGGAGCGCGATACCTGCGCCTGCGCTACGCACCTGTGTAGGGTCCACGGGGCACGGCTCGTGGGGCTCATTATACTCTGTAGATGGGTAGTGCCGATGAACCGGCATTGTGTCAAACGAATCATCGCGAAATCGGTCACTTTTCTCTCAGCCAACGCGTCACCACCCGACCGACGTGACGGAATGTCCCACTGTTGTCTTACTCGAGTGAAATCTGAAGGTCGATCTGTCGTCGGGAGATAATATACCAAGTGTTTCTATGCATGTCCAATTGTTTGAACGTTGAACGCCGATGTGCTAATACCCATACAAGTCGACCTCGGCTCGGCATTCCATAATTTTTGTTCTAATATTTACTGTCGATAAGTGACCGTGTTATATCAGTAGGCATATTTAAATTAAAAATTACATCACATAAAAGGGGAGTAGCTTTAAATAATTAAACCATTAACATTATTTGTATATTTCGTAACATTATTTACATTACAACACACACATTCACACGTATATTTATGTTATAGCTTTTATTAAAGTCCTCATTATTTATTCATTATACTATTATAGTCCTACATTCTTGTAGACGCCCGTATTATGATAATGAACCACATAAAATTCCTTCTTAAGGTGTTAATATTTTGAGGCTTTAACTCCTGGCTCGTCAGAATGCAGAGGCGCTTTTCGTTTCTGTATGATGTTTTGAATCTAAAACAAAACAAAAAATTGTTTATAAACCTTTTTTACTAAAACACAAAAACCTGATAATTTAGATGATCAATTTGATGAAAAATGATAGGTTTTTTTACACGCCTTTATTAGCTAGGTATACATAGGTATATGTATGTACATAATAATATGTATGTTCGTTTTTTTATTTTTATTGCTTAGATGGGTGGACGAGCTCACACCCCGCCTGGTGTTAAGTGGTTACTGGAGCCCATGGACATCTACAACGTAAATGCGCCACCCACCTTGCCGCCAAAAAAACAGATATAAAGTTACCTGTTGCCATTCTCTGTCGAGCTCTGCCTTTTCGCTTTTGTCCTTCGTTTTCCTTGTTTTCCGTCCGTCTTGCGTTTTGACGCCATATTGGAAGGCCGCCTTAGGTAACGCCTCTTTGCTGCTCATGTAGGCGGAGTATTCCTCTTGCGTGTCGAAATCCCAGCGACCTTTTTTTTAAATTAAAATTATAGGATCGCGTTACACTATTTTTTTATTATTGCCTTTTTTGTTGGGTGGATGAGCTCACAGCCCACCTGGCGTCAAGTGGTCACTGGAGCCTATAGACGTCTACAGCGTAAATGCGCCACCCACCTTGAGATATTTTAAGGTCTCAGTATAGTTACAACGGCTGCCCCACCGGCACGGCACGGCAGAAATAGGCAGGGTAGTGGTACCTACCCGTGTGGACTTACAAGAGGTCCTTCCACCAGTAAAAAATTATAAGGTCGCGTTACACTAGCTGTTACCAACGCCCTGAGAGAAGCCGAAAACCGAAGCAAATGGAAGCTGAGGGTACAAAGAGCCACGAAGGGCATTCAGGGACACGACCTTCAGCAATGAAGTATTCGACTAAGAAGTAAGAAGTTACACTAGCAGTAAAATCCTGATCGGAGTGTACGTAAACCACTCATCTATTAAAACTAATCTACACAGACCCATTGTATGTTGATCGTATTTAGACAAAAACGTTTTTTGACTCAGCGCCTTAACAAATTGGATGAGAGACGCGCGAATATATAGATCGTAAGCAAACGTACACGCAAAAATTCGTTTTTCTACATATGCCATGTTGTGAACAGGGACCCAGAAAGCAGCTAGTTGTTATTGTTAAAAATACGGAGATTCATTAAGCAAAAAGATAATCCTATAATGATAACTATTACAACATAACGATTAGCCACGTATGATGTCATACATTGTGATTGGGTGTTAAAGTTATTTTGGCGTTGTTCGATTATATTTCTTTTATTCTATCAACAAAAACAATTACTAAACATCGTTCAGATTTAATGAACGTGCTTTTGTATGCACTTTTTTACTTCTATATAACTACTTATCTATCTATCTATATATTATTATATAAAAATGAATTGCTGTTCGTTAGTCTCGCTACAACTCGAGAACGGCTGGACCGATTTGGCTAATTTTGGTCTTGAATTATTCGTGGAAGTCCAGAGAAGGTTGAAAAGGTGAATATATATGAAAATGCTCGATATTATATAAAAACAAACAACTTTGTTTTTCCTTTGATATGTCCCCTGTCGGATGGATTCCTTTTGTTTTTTTTTTATACAAATTAAGATTATTTTATACAAAAGTTTAGGTTTTTTATTTATCGACTGAGGCACTACGAAGTCTGCCGGGTCAGCTAGTTACTTATATAGTTATAGGGAAGCTATAGCAAGATTTATAAGGTTCATACCGATCGGTCCCTTCTTATTCCCGGCGTCCATCTTGGTGTAGTCGACTTCATCGTCGGAGTCGTCTATGGCGTCGTCCATCTCCCTGAGGCCGGGGTAGCACTCGGCGTAGCCCTCGGGCTCTGCCGCCAGCTTGGACAGCAGCGCCGCGGAACGTTTGTCGCGCTCTTCGTTATTCCCTGTTGCTTGACGACGAGGGATCGGGCCTGCGGAATATAAACGAGGCCGTCAGAGCAGAATTGACTTAATCTTACCATAGTTCGCATGGAGATAATGCGGAAGAGAAGTGCCTCGTTATTGCGTCGAGTCCGTGACAGTGGCAAGTCTTTTGAAAATCATATCGAGCAAGATCGAGGGGGACTGCTGATTAATAACCTTTGCAGCAGGCACTTGAAAGGAAAAATATATAAAAATGTATTGATATAAAATTAATGTATGAATGATATTTATGTGTTAGATTTTTTAAGTTACTAACATAGATTATAAGTAATTCGTACTAACAAAATGTTATGGTTTAAAAAAAAGAAAAAGAAAGAAAACTGAAATAAAGTATAAATAAATAAAAATAATGAGGTTGGAATTAACTTTTACACTGCTTTGTAGGAAAAAACGATACGCGCAAAAATAATATTTACATATCCATCTGTTATCTATGTGTGAAACTATGGGTAGGCCGATTTTGCATCAAAATGTATTTATGTTTTAAATAAATTGCAGTAGAATATAAACACGAATATGAAAATTGCGGGTTAGGCGACTTCTGCGCTGACGGCCTTAAATATACATTATACTATTATTATCGTGTCCAGGCTCTCCCGCGACCTGGAAACAACGCTACACTATAAAAACGCGACTTCGCTACGCCTTCGTCCCACCGACTGGACCAATTTGGCTAATTTTGGTCTTGAATTATTTGTGGAAGTCCAGAGAAGGTTTAAAAGGTAGATAAATATGAAAATGCTCGGAATTAAATAAAAATAACAATTTTGTTTTTCCTTTGATGTGTCCCCCGTCGGACGGATTCATTTTGTTTGTTTTAAGTTTATTTTATACAAAAGTTTAGGTCTTTTATTTATCGATTGAGGCACTACGAAGTCTGCCGGGTCAACTAGTGATGACAATAAATAATGTTAATTTTAAATGCCCAGCGAAGCGGGCGAGTACGGCTAGTTGTTTCTAAAAATCAAAATGGTTATACCCTCTTCCTTCTCGGTTTCAACAGGCTTATCAAAGTATCCGGTTCGCGGCCTCTCCTCCCTCCTGTCGGAGCGGCGCTCTCCCGGCATGTAGTCACCAATCTCGCCGTATATAGAGTCGTCGTTACGACCCTTCTCCGTAGTCTTGTCCTGTTACAAAAGATTTCCTGATAAACATTGTGAAGAAGTAATAGGGATTTCAGCCCTAGAGGCGTCATCACGGATCCTCCCGATCCATTAACGGTGCTTTTAGGTATCCCAAGCACCGGTCACCGTCTTCGTAGAACCCCTCGCTTTCGACGAAGGGCTCGACGAGTAAATTAACCCATACATACAGTCCACTGAGTTTCTTGCAGGATTTTCTTAGTGCGAAGATTCTGCGAATTACTGCTCTTGCTAGGGCCAGTGTTAACAACACTCCCGATTTGAGCCCAGTGAGCTCACCTACACGTCAAGAAGCTTAAATAGCCTCTCAAGGCTATCCAGCATAGGTAGGAAAAAAGGGATTTCGATTTATTTTCTTGTTTTAGTAAGCGCATCCAATGAAATACAATACGACTTATACGATGTAAGTATTTAAGCTTATTTCAGTAAATAAACATCGATTTATATTTACCTTATTTTTTCCTAACTATACGCCGGTAGCCTAAGAGTCTATTCTAGCTACGTCCGGACGGGTAGGTGAGCTCACGGGCTCGACCTGAGAGAATTGCTAACCAGAGCAGTGGAGAATCTACTAGAAGATCAGAATTGCGACCCACTGAAATGATCAGGCGAGAAACTCAGTGGATAATTGTGTTGTGGACGAGCTCACAGTCGACGTGGTGTTAAGTGGTTACTGGAGCCCATAGGCATCTACAATGTAAATGCGCCACCCACCTTGAGAGTTCTAAGGTCTCAGTATAGTTATAACGACTGCCCCGCCCTTAAAACCGAAACGCATTACTGCTTCACGGCAGAAATAGGCAGGGGGGTGGTACCTACCCGCGCGGACTCACAAGAGGTCCTACCACCAGTAACTATTAATTGATGACTAATTTAAGTCAAAAAAACTGATTTTAGTGGGAAAAAAAACGGAACCTTAGTCTTCTTCAGCTTCTTATGTCTTCCGTGCCTCAAATATGAGAAGATCTGCGTCAGTTTCTCGACGACAAGATCATTTGCACTCGAAGCCGAACTCCTTTCGTCCATTTCGGGAACGTCCGCTTTACTCCGAGTCAACGTTGTGGGTATATCGGAATCGATTGTGCCTTCTTCGTCGAGCTCGACCACGTACGCCATACGACCGGGAGCAAACATTTCGCTGCGGACAACTTTCTTGTTCCTGAAAAAGGCAGTAATAATTTTTTAAAACACCAAACCCAATAACTCTTTAGTTTATATCACTACATAGTATAAAACAAAGTCGCTTTCTCTGTCCCTATATCTGTCTGTCCCTATGTATGCTTAAATCTTTAAAACTACGCAACGGATTTTGATGCGGTTTTTTTTAATAGATAGAGTGATTGAAGAGGAAGGTTTATATTATGTATAATAACATCCATTAAATAGTGGAGAAATCAATAATGAATTACAGCTTCCGAAGCGAAGCCAGGGCGGGCCGCTAGTACCTAATAAGAACTTCAATGAATTTAACGTTATTAAGGAACTAAGTAATCTGTTCTTTATTTAAACAAAAATTTATTGTTTCGATGGGTTGACAATCTCCTTGGAGTTAAATGGTCATTGGTTAAGTGGTCAAGTAAATGCCATCCATCTTGAGACATGAATTCTAAATGTTTCTTTTATAACGGTGTTGCATTTTAAGTAGTTGCTCTAATTATCGTCACAATAGAGTTTATAATATTACGAAAAAAATTAACTTACTTTTGTTCTAGAATCATGTCAAAAATATTTTTTCCCATTTGAGTCTTGAACTGCATCTCTTCTTCCTGTAATAATAAAACTAACAGTAAATAAAATAAATAAATAAATATTATGTTTTATTGAAGCTGTAAGTATTTTTATTTGAAAAGAGAATCAAACTGTTCGAGATAATTTCATTACATCATCAGTGAAGAATAGTTCATTTTTACAAATTTGACCTCTAACGATAGACAGAAGATGGTTATGGTGTTAAGTAAAAAATATTATATTCTTAAACTTCAATGTTATTGATAGAACTATGACTAGACTATCATCATGATAAACATTTGCTTTGAATCGAGTATTCTCACTAATGAATGAGCCAGTACTCTGACTCTGGCTTAGTACATTTAATACCTATACTGGTGCTACTGCCTATTATCATTGTAGAATGATGCCTTTTACTAAAGTTTAGACTTGGAATATTTTCTAAATGGTGATTGATTTTATGTTATAATGTCAACATTAGAGGTGGCTTTTTTATCTATAGTAGAACATATTGTGACACTCTGGGGCTCGGGATAAATAAATGTTCCACTAAAGTACAACTACAAAAAAAAAAAAACAAGGCAATTATTTCAAGTTCTGTATCACAGATTATGTTGTGTATTGTAGTAAACACTGCTAGTTAGTAAATACACTTGCAATCTTCAACATATACAATACGGAATTACATCTCCAAATAAGTGGCGACATTCACACTGTGAGGTGCTTGCTGGATGGGTTGAGTTTTAGTAAACACTTAAAACCAAATGAGCCATAACTTCATTCGTAGGACTAGGCATCATCATCATCATTCTTTCCTATTACCCTCTGCTGGGATGTAGGGCTCGAATCATTTTTTTCCATTTACATCGGTCTTGGGTAGTCTGTTCTAGCTCCTCCCACTTCGTATGACTAGGCAAATAAAAAAATTAAGTCGTGAACTCATTTGCAAACTTACGAGTAAAAAACAACATGTATTGACTTACAACTTCCTTCTTTTCTTCTTTCTTTTCTTTTACAGGTTCCACGGGAATAGTGACCAATCTTTCCATTTCGGCTTCTTCTTCTTGCTCCCGAGTTTGTATTTCTGAACGAACCTTTAACACAGAGTAAAAATGTAATATTATAACAAATTTATGATTCGTGAAAAAAATACATAAATATACATGATTTTTAATATATCCTATGATCCTATATTATATTATTGTAATATGGATTTATGGAACAAAATTAAAATTATAATATCAATTATGAGACTTATCTTGTTAGAAACTATAGAACTATACATACATTTGTGTGTACAAATATAAATATACATAGTAAATAAAAAATATTATCCTTTAGAACATATTGCAGATTATACTGACATATTATAAGATTTTGGTCTAATATCTGAAGGTGGGTCTTCATTTTGCAATGTGTATGCTCTGTTAACAACTCAACATCGAAGAAACATAATAGCATTAAATAAAACCATTATTTATAATATTGATTGATCAATAGAAATTTAATTAAGTTGAATTGAATAAATATCTTACCTTCTGCAACAAAGCATAATCGAGACCTTTTACCAAGTGAGTGTGCTCCATGTCACCACCAAGATATTTGGATTCCTGTAAAATGAAGTCAATTGTAAAATAATTGCTTATTAAAAATATTGAACATTAATATTCTATGTTGTTATAATATTTAAGATAAAAAAGTTAACTATAGGTAGGTACCTGGATAAGTTGTCTCCTCCTTTCTTTGGCATCTAGACCTGATTTCAAATCTGGAGCAACAGCTCTGTAAAAAAATTACAGATTTTATTTTTATTTTTAACTGTGAACAAATCACACATGGACCTCAGGCCCCAAATTAGGTGTCTATGTGTTATGGATACCAGATACTGACAAACATCCTTATATAAGTTTAAATATATACATATAGTAGATAATAAACACCTAGAAAAGCCTGTTCATTACGTGAATGTTTGCCCGATGTGGAAATCGAACCCAGTGCCCTCAGCATAACAGTTAGAAGGACACTACCGATTCATTTAGAGTATGAATTATTCAAAACTTAAAAAAAAACTACATAGGACTTCACTAAATTTTATACTTTGTTTTGAATGGCAGAAGATCAGAGATGGTTGAAAAGCATGTCATAGTATTCAGAAAAGGCATTTACGAATACAGTTCCTGAGATCACCTTTGCCACATTATATGATTGGATCATATAATGTGGCAAAGGTGATCTCAGGAACTCACTTCAAGACAAGCACAGAGGTCCAAGCTAATAAGAATTAATTTGGTTCTGATGGCAAATGGTGACAAAAAAGAAACAATAGAATTTTCCCAAATAGTTCCTTAGCTATATATATAAAAAAGAGAGTATCAAGTTTACCTATAGGCACTGCTTGTGTTGCTTGTTGGATCAATAACACTTAAATCATTCACACCATCTCTCCTCTCTCTAGCTCTGTCTCTGTATTTCTCTGCAAGCTCTGCTAGCTTGTTGTCTTCTTGTTTCTTAAGAGCAGCATAGTATGACTTTTTCTTACGACGTAACTCTCCTTTGTTCTCTGATGGTGGTGGCATAGATCTGTTATGTTGTGAAAATTATTGGTAAGAAGATATAATAAACTTTTGATACATTTTAAGAAACAAAATTTTTATTGCCATTGTTCACATAAAAAAATAAGTATAAGCCATAAGTAGTAGTACCCTGAGGTAAGCTGTACATTAGTATCCTCTACATGGTCATGGTGTAACATGGACATGAGGAATGTCAGGGACACGTCAAGGCTGTGTCACTAATTCCTGTCTGCCTAATCTTCCTAACTGAAGGCCTTTAGACACTTCTTATCCGAGACAAGTACAAACCATTTTGTGTATTTCCTTGGTGGAATAGATCTGCCACAGATACTCTTTAATATATATTAATAAAGTTTACCCTGCATTCGCCATAGCCTCTCGAATGGAGCCAGGAGCGTGTGTCCCTCCTGAAGGAGTAGATCTTGGAGTCATCAGTAATTTCCTAAAGTCATCATTTGTAAGCCTCTGTGAAGCCGGTGTGTCCTCCACACCCCTGTGATCTTCCATGTTGATGTTTTCTAAGTGAATTTCGATTGGATTACAGTTCTGCTTCTGAATTGATTTTTATGAAATCAATTTGTTTTAGTTGTGTTGCTCTTAATCTAGAATATGATTACAAATTACGAATTCAAGTACTAGTAGTATTCAAACAGTAGAAAAACTGCAGAAAATACAACTACAGCTTCCTGAGCAGTTGTTTTTGTTGAGTTTATATCAAAATGATCATTATAAATGCATTTATAAAATCTATGACAGCAACACATATGTAATTAAGTACGAACTAGCTTTTTTTTAAATATTTTATGACCTGGTAACTAAGACCTTTAAGTTCTGTCTTATTTTATTTATATTTTTATGAAAAATGATAATATGGAGTGAAATGAAATGAAATGAAGATGATTAATTTGAGACATTAATCAACTGGGATAAAATTAAATGAAATGAGACAATATGATATGGGATGAAATATAATCTTAGTAAAATGGTGCTTACTTACTGAGACTTTTTCAGTGGACTTTTTGGAGGATCCCGAGAAGCTATGTCCAGCAGTTTTGTCTAATTTTCCCACATTTGTACACTTGCACAGATACTAAACAGTTAATATCGTTTTTACACATCGTTATTACACATTTAAGCCTGAAGAAACACTAAATAGACAAATTAAAACAATTCACACAACTTCGCTCTGTACGTATGTACATGTTGCATGAGGCCTCATAAAATTTATGCCAATAATGATATGCCCTAATAAGATTTACTTGAGCTTGAGTTCCTTGGGCTCCTATTTTTTAATTCTTAGGTCATATATAATACGGTTATCCACGAGATTCCGCCCACATATAAAAGCAGTCCACGACCGTGCCGCGTTTATTCTCGGCAGACTCTACCCCATGATCTGTAAGCGGAGTAAAATGTCCTTTCGGAACCAGGTGACACTGTGTAGTTCTTGTAAGGATCCATTAGATACCTCGCAATAACCCTCGCATTAGACGCCTTCCGCTCTAACACTAGGAGTAGAGACCCCGGTAACCGTACTCGTCGAACTCGGCAAAGAGTTCGACGTGCAATCTAACATAAGCATCAGCCCGTTGAGTTTCTCGCCGGATCTTCTCAGCGGGTCGCGATTCCGATCCGGTAGTAGATTCATTCGCGAAGCAGCTACTGTTGAGTTGCTAGGTCTCCCTTGAAGGCGCTCGGGTAGCTGTTAGCAAATCCCGCCTCTTCTGGCTCGCCCACCTGTCCTTGTGAAACTGGAAAGGCCTCCGGGCCACTAGTAAACCCTCAATCATAAAAAAAGAAGATAATACGGTTTAGTTGGTGAACTATCTCAGGGCCCACCTAGAATAAAGTTGCCAGCTTAAACAAAAACCAATGTAAGTGCCACTATTCAGCTTGAAACATGAGGTCAGTTTGAATGGTGTAGTGCCCGTCTCGAAGCAGTATTCTACGACTGCTTTGCAACCGAATTAAGCATGATGGTTAGTATCTATCGATTTAGACTTAATAAGATACCCTACTACACTTAATAAATGTGAGTTGGCGGTCACAAACGTTCATATTCCACTGTTTTGTTCCAAAAATACAGGTTTCCGATTATTTTTATTTATGATCCATCTTATCACTAAAGTTAAAAAGAATACAGTGGAAGTTGAACTCTGTGGCTATGAGTGTCCGTGAAATATAATATAGCGTTACCGTAGCAAACTTTTAAAGAAAATGCAAAAAATACTGCTTTGCTTTATATTGAAAAATACATTTACAAAATTAAATTAAGATTTAATATAGAATTTTGACGCATCACTACTTTCTTCCATCTACATAGCAATAATATTTTTATTCGTCAGCTCTATTAAAGTTGACTTAAAATTTTACTCTAGTTTTTTGGAATAACTAATTACCCGTAGTCTTGGCTTTTTTAGTTTTTAGTTTTTTAGTTTCGCCGGGTGTGTAGGCCTCAGAGACTTTTATAACATCTGTGTGCTCAATGCGAGTTTTTTAAGTTCTCGAGTTAGAACAGTTTCCCTTGGTTTGCCGCTAGGGGCGCTGTTCCAATTCGTACAAATTTGAGTTAACTTTTACGTGATAGAGAAGTTAAAAAACTCGCACTAAACACACTGCGCTAAAAAGAACAGTGCCTTTCTGAAGCTAACATCTGATCGGAATCGCGACCGTCTAAGATCCAGTGCGAAAATCAGTCGGTTGTGGACATACGTTAGTTATGTTGCACGTCGAACGGTGAATGGTCCTTGGAATGCCTAAAAGCACCGATAATGGATCGGGAGGACCCGTAATGACGTGTTTAGGGCGACGCGGCGACGTCGACCGTTTACCATTCGGTCCACAGGACTGGGTATGTAATTTCCGACGGCCACGGCAAGAGGGTTTTCTTGTCGTACCGCCTTCTCAAAGGGATGATACGATATGATGCATACCTACATAGTATACGTAATTATGGTAAACGCGTAACTATAATACACACCCATTCATAACATGTGTATCTTAGGATGTAATATGTAATAATGGTTTGCACAATTAAAATCATAATAGGTAATCTACTTTTTATGGTGGTAGGACCTCTTGTGAGTCCGCACGGGTAGGTACCACCACTCTGCCTATTTCTGTCGTGAAGCAGTAATGCGTTTCGGTTTGAAGAGTGGGGCAGCCGTTGTAACTATACTTGAGACCTTAGAACTTATATCTCAAGGTGGGTGTAACCACTTAACATCAGGTGGGTGTTGGAAGGTCGTGATGCTGTCCACGTATAATTGTCTATGATGCACTATATTTGAATTTGTATTATGTTCCTTTTACTTTTGATGTGCGGTGTCATTCTGAATTATATTTTCTCTTATACAAGTCAACACAATGTTTTCAAGTATTTAATTTACGTTTTAATTAATTGCTATAGCCGCTAGTCCACCCTATCAGTGGTAGCAGAGCGTGGTTACATAAATATCTAGTGGCAAATGGAAGAAGCATATTAAAATTTAAAATAGTAAGTAAATGAGAAAATAAAAAAAATTAAAATGAGCTCGAGTATCAGAAACATAGAACCGCTGACAAAATCAAACTATGATACCTGGTGCTTACAAGCACAGGCGATTCTCGTAAGATACGATTTATGGGAATACGCTAGTGGTGCAAAAGCGTTAGCGGCAACTACGACTGCCGAAGAAAAGAGTGCGTTCATAAAGGAAGACTTAAAGGCAAGGTCAGAGCTAATTTTACTTATATCTCCACCAGAACTGAAACAAGTTAAAGGGTGTAATACATCCAAGGAGGTATGGGACAAACTTAAGTCTATTCACCAAAGTTCAGGGCCGGCAAGAAAGGCTACGTTGTTAAAGCAGCTAGTATTAAAGAAAATGACTCCACAAGAAGATGTGAGAGACCATCTCAGTAATTTTATGGATGTAGTAGGTAAATTAGAAGACATGGATGTCAAAATTCATCCAGAGTTATTAAGTATAATGATGTTGTACAGTTTACCTACAAATTTCGATAAGAACAAAGTTATTAGTAAATGACCAATATTATAAACGGGCGCTATGAGACTATAGACGTAGCCTGTTAAAATGATATCTGAAACGAATCACGGTCACAAAGACTTATAATAGAATGTAAATAATCTTTCAGCATATTT